AACATAGTCTGATGCATTTGTTTCATACTTATCAATTAAATGTGTTTTCAGAAGCCTTTCTCCTAAATATTAATCCTGGTCAAGTGCCATATACGTAAATTACGTACATAAGTGTCCTTACAACCAACGGTATATTGCTGGGTCTTCCAATTGCTCCACGAAACCTCTTTCTAAATTATTAACATCTATTTTATCAGCAATCAAAGCCGGGCTCCAAAGTTATTGTGAAACTGCCTATTTTAGAGGTGGCGTGACTCAGATGTGGATACTAAAAAATTCCAAAGATCTTTTAGAGTACATACAATCTAAGACTCTCTCATCTTGCAATAGTAATAAAACATTTGACTTTTCTACACTTTACACGAGTATTCCCCATTCCAAACTAAAAGACAAATTGAAAGAGTTGGTATTACTTTGTTTCATTAAAAAGAATGGCGAACGTAGATACAAGTATCTTGTCTTGGGGAGGGATAAATCCTACTTTGTAAAGAACCACTCTGATTAAAACAAAAAATTCTCAGAAACTGACATTATCAAGATGCTTGATTTCTTGATTGACAACATATTTGTTACGTTTGGAGGACGTGTTTTTCAACAGACTGTCGGAATTCCAATGGGAACCAATTGTGCCCCTCTTCTTGCCGACTTGATTCTTTATTATTATGAGGCTGACTTCATACAGGAACTTCTTAGGAAGAAATATAAGAAGTTAGCAATATCCTTTAACTCTATGTTCCGCTATATAGATGATGTTCTCTCACTAAATAATACAAAATTTGGTGACTATGTTGAACGAATCTATCCCATCGAACTAGAGAAAAAGGATACTACAGATACAGTTAAGTCTGCCTCATATCTTGACTTATATCTAGAAATTGACAATGAGGGTCGGTTGAAAACAAAACTTTACGACAAAAGAGATGATTTCAGCTTCCCAATTGTGAACTTTCCATTTCTATGTAGCAACATTCCAGCAGCGCCTGCATACGGAGTATATATCTCCCAATTGATACGATATTCCTGGACTTGTGTTTCCTATCATGATTTCCTTGATAGAGGATTGCTGCTCACAAGGAAGATATTAAACCAAGAGTTCCAAATGGTGAAGTTGAGTTCATCCCTTCGTAAATTTTACGGACGCCATCACGAATTGGTTGACCGTTATGGAATAACTGTTTCACAGATGATATCGGATATGTTCCTTATGTCGTAACTACAATACCCTTCCCTTTTCACGAATGTGACTTACCGAATTAGGCTATTTACCGGATTTGTAATAACATAAGCAGAACGACGGGTGCCACATGTGGAGCAGGATCTGCTTACCCTTCCGGAGCACCTGAGATCACCCCCAGTTTTTGGTGGGGTTCGTGTTGTTTAGTCTTTATTTTTCTATGTTGTGTCATCTGTACTATTATTTGTCTGTTTATTTTTGGCCATGGCGTTGTCAGTTTGTTTTCGATCTATGAGTTTGACTGTCCCTCTGGTATCTTTCGTCCCTCTTTTACCATACACCTGTCAAGCTTCATTTGTAGAGGCATCTTAATGTCGAAATTCATCTAAAATCTTCTCATCTAATGGATGATGTTTTTTAATATCTACCCATATGAAATAAGGAGAAGTTATACGATTGCCATTTAACACCTATCCAATAGAATCCAAATTATGGAGAAGTTCGCAACAATAAGTGACCATACAGCTACAACAAATGAGCAAAACCCATGCATCATAAAAAGCTATAAAAAGTCGCGATAGAACCAACGTAAACAATTCAAACGAGTTGTACATGTTGTATGTACCAAATTGTCAACGAAAAATAGATATAATGTGCAGCAACAAACAATAATCATTAAATGGCAGGCTCCTTACTAGGGACATGCAGTTACCAAATGTGGTGGGGTTAAACAAGTTTGTTTGTGGAATTCCTCTCCCCACACTTTGACATTCATACTACAGCACAAATTAATAGCAAACTATAAAAAATCAATTGAGAAGGGTCTATCTTTGAATACGTATACAGGCAAAGCAAGTCCAGAAATGTGAAATTCCAAATTACTAAAAAGCAGGTAAATTGTATAAATGCCAATAACAAAACACTCGACCAGAGTCCAAAATGATGTAGATTTTTGCAACTGTAGATCTCAAAATAATTTTAAGCCGAGAAAAAAAATCCATATCATACAATTAGCTATGATAGGCATTATGAAATTTGCAAAAAATCAAACGGGAAAATTAGCGGTCTGAACTTAAAACAAATAAGATAGACAGCAACAAATGACAACAAATAAAAAAACACATACACAATCATGATAATTGCAGGATACGATATAATTGTGAGTGCTCAAAAATAATCCCGACCTTTGATAATCATGATAATGGTACGACTTCGATTGAAAAAAAAATCTGCAACTCAGATAAAGCCTTTTTCTCTAATGAGAAAGGTAAATGTTCTAGATATTCTTACTGGAGATGTGATAAGATGAGTCAAGTTTCCTTGGCAACATTCGTGTAATTTTCGGCAATAAAGTTTACCGACAGGTAGTAGGTATTCATATATACACCAAGTGCGCCGCTCTAATAACAGACTTGTTCATGTACTGTTATGAATCACAGTTGTTGGCCAAACTCAGTAGAGACACGTCTAAATTTCATTTAACTAATAAATTCAACAACACTTGCAAACCGTTATCTTGTAGATATGTTTTCGTTGAATAATCAATAGTTCTCTAAGTATACTGCCGAAATTTACCCAAAATAACTTACTTTAAATAATTCAAAAAATTACAGCAATTACTGTCCTTTCCTTGATGTAGATATTTCATTTTTACACGAGAAACTCTACAAGAAAATTTTCGACAAAAAAGACGATTGGGAGAGGGTTGAGATCTCAAAAAACATGATTAACCCCGGCGCATTTTTTTCGAGTCAGAGGCATCTGGCCTTTGTCAGTCTCGTATATCTATTTTATTTTTTTTTTATTATTTTGGTTCAATTATATGTTTTAGAGTTAAGTGTGACGTCCATTTTCGCTGAGCTAGTACGCTTTTTTGCCAAAGCACGTCTCCGGTTGCGAGATTTTCTAGTTGCGTTGAAGACCCTTTGATGGCCTTTGGCTGTTTTCTGCTCTGTGGTCGGATTGTTGTCTCTTTGACACATTCTCAATTTTAATTAGTTCATTTGATGATGAATGTAAACTGATTGGTACTTTAGTCTTAGAATCATTATTTTTTTACTACAATGTGAAAGTACTTTTATTTGTGTGGTACCAATTTTCGTGGTTTCCGTGGATGGCTTTATCCACGAATTTAAGTGTCCAACGAAATAAAACAACTGTTGTCCAAATCGAGACATGAATAGTTCTCCATGTAGGTTTGACTACATGGATACGGGCATATAATCTAGAGAATACATGGAATATCAGCAAACGTACTTTAAACAATATATTCAACTTCAGACAGGATTTTTTCCATTTCATCCTTAAATCAAGACCTAAACTGTATGAGTTTTAACCTTTCAATTATCATGAAAAAATTGTTTTAATCGATGAAAGTGAGACTTCCGTTTACGATACCCGATATTGAACTGTCATTATATCTCCTCATAATACTCATACGAACAAAAAATAACATTTCCTATTGGGCTTGCTTTTTTTATTTCATAAGAATGAATTCTACAATTCAAAGAATATTTGTTACAAAATGTACATTTTATTATGTAACTGTTTCCTTTAAGTAGAGGTTGATGGCCCAATTGAAACCTTTGATTATCGTTAATCTGCTGATCATTAGATCCTTGGTTAATTGGTGTCATCACGTCTGATAAAAGGGTGCACGAATTGAAATTTTTACCTTTGCAATTTCCTTCAATCGAGACAATTTTTAAACAGAGATGAACCAGCTTATATACGAAATCAATTATTTAATTACAAATGTAATGAATGTTGCCAGTAATATAAGACGAACAGGTAAGTGAAAATGAACGCCTTATTTTGCAATGTCTAACCAGTTTTTATAAAACAACATATCATTTATTTCAAGAATCTTCGGTTCTGAAGGTTTTAAATTCTTTTCACTCGATTTGTTTTGGGTTTTTTTTCGGAAAAAAACTAAATTCCACCAATTTGAAAACCCACGAACATGTAACTTTAGTTCAAACCACGAAAATTGATACCCATCAATAAAAGTACTTTCACAGTAGTTTGTTCTTTTTTTTGGAGTGGGGGGGTTGAAATAGCTAACAGTAACTTTGAGTACTCTCAGATCTATACTGTGTGTCTTTTAGTTGTTAGGAGGAATGTATAAATTCCCTGCCTTCTTGATCACAGTTAATGTTAGTTTTTTTTTTTTCTTTTTTTTCCTGATTTGTATCGTGTTGATGAGTTAAGACCTTTTCAACTGATTTTTATAGTTTGATCTTATGTTGTACATTTTAACCACTGTCCCAGCTTATAGGGAGGATTTGGCGTCATCATTTTTAACCCCATCACATGCTGTTTATGTCTGTCTCAGTTCAGGAGCCTGCAATTCAGTGGTTGTCGTTTGTTGCTGTTTACGATATTTTATTTTTCGGTTATTGCTTTTTGCATAAATAAGGTCGTTAATTTTCTCGTTTTAATTGTTTTACATTTGTCGTTTCAGTGCTTTTTATGACTAACTATGCAGTATTGGTTTTGCTCATAGTTGAAGGCCGTAAGGTGATCTATAATTGTTAGCTTCTATGTCATTTGGTCTCCGGTGGAGAGTTGTCTCATTAGAAATCTTGCCACATCTTTTTTATTTTGATATCATAAGTACCGATTTTGTAGTAACTGATTTACTATGTTGACTGAAAATTAGGGAGATTGCATTTAGTATAGGCTTACTTTATCAGTTGAAATAAAATATTATCTAAAAAAAATGACTTACTTTTTATAATATTTAATGAAAAACTAAGGAAAATTCCAATATTCACAGATGAAGTTAAAATAATTATATAACATATATTAAATTATATAACATATATTAAACAAGAATGTGTCCATAGTACACGGATGCCCCACTCGCACTTTTATTTTCTATGTTCGGTGGACAATGAAATTGGGGTCAAAACTCTAATTTGGCATTACAACTAGAAAGATCAAATCATAGGGAACATGTGTACTAAGTTTCAAGTTGATTGGACTTCAACTTCATCAAAAACTACCTTGACCAAAAACTTAAACTGAAGCGGGACAGACGGACGAACGGACGGACGGACGGATGGACGAACGGTACGACAAACGAACGGACGCACAGACCGAAAAAACATAAGTTCCCTAAGTGGGGCCCAAAAAGCGATTCGGAGGCAAGACATTAATTAAGCGTGTATATCTAAAATAAAGACATAAAAGAAACGTGTCACTTCTATCTCCAACACCTGACTCCTCCAAAAACAAAAAACAAACAAACAAACAACATGAACAAAAGCATACAAGAACGTACAAAGAATTTTCCAGATACGTTCACGTTGCACGTTGATGAAAACCGGCGGGTTTAATCATTTAATAAGTTATCATTTTAGAATACGAGAAAAGGACAAAAAAAGGCACAAAACATTACAAGGAGATTCTGAATGTCCTTGGTACTACATGACGCTATCTTAGCTGTTATGAGAGCATTACATTCCAAAGCAATGTGGTTTAAATATCCGTGATTAAACTGACATATGCTTAAAATTTGATATTTTTTCATTATCGATGCTATTATCCCCCCTTCGATCAAATGCAAAAAATGAAGAGAAATATGACACATAGTGAAATCTAAAATCTAACGATTGATGAGAAGGAATGGTGTTTCTATTGATAACACAATGACTATGATTACTGTTTGAAAAGGGGCTTAACACACCGACATCATATTTTTTCTGGTCATTTAGTTTTGAACTAGATAGAAGTGTTTTGTTTGGTAAGCTTTTAGACATGCTTGAAGGTTTTGTTATGTCAATGAGTTCTAAATATTGAACAAGTTTGGAGTACTCGGCCTTTGATTCAATCGTTTTTTCTACGTCTATCTGTTGATAAGGATGAGTATATCCTGAATCCCTTTTCATGTCATCAACGACAGAGGATGAGTTGCTGCTGTCGTAAGATTTTATCTGTGTGCAATAAGAATGTGTTTCAAAGTCTTTTGTAACAGTCGTGTAGGGATGCAGATAACCGGAACATCCAGATTGTTGAGACGATCCCTCTGAATCTGATGTCTGCTTGTTAAAAACTACTGAATTTTCCTGAGAGTATATAATCTGAATGTTGTCATCATATATCTCGTCCTCGTTAATACTGTCGTACAAACTTCCAGCTTCTTCATTAGCATTTCTTTCATGACTTTCCTGAGTGGAGATTCGACCTTTTTCACTGTCTTTTCTTTTGTTGTTATAAAACCAGAGAGACACAAAACACAACAGAGTAATTATTAATATGATACTACTTGATCCAACAGAATAAATAATTATCTCTGTTTTGGTAAAATGCTCTGAAATAGAAAAAAAAAACAAAATAATGTTGCTTTATTTTTATTTTATTTTCATGGTTATTTTTCTTTTTTTTTCTATTTTTTTTTCTACGTTATGATGTTTTCAAGCGCATACATGTAATAGGCGATAAAGTTAAGTAACAGTATCAACATTTCTATTTTTAGAATTGTAAGCAACAACTAATGTATTGCATGGAAGGAACCGAACTTATCTATTGAAAACAAGCAGAAGCACACATTTCCTGTGATCTGTTACCTCAAAGAGTTCTCGCCAGTTGTCCGTGATTTTGAGACTTTATATGCAAGTTTCAGAATAAGAAAAAAAAGCCTTTGGCGATTTGTCCACGAAAAATATATATAGAAATAAATTTATATCATAGAATTCAACAAAATACCAAATTCTTAATCCAACTTTGTTATTTTTTAATGCATTAATTTCGTCAAAATCAATGTGTCGCTCAGTGTGTAAAATTTTGCGTCTAAAGGGTGTGAGGCATTTATCTAAACCAGAATAGATTTGCTTATAATACGGCCTTCGTCTGATTTTACATAATTCAATGCGTAATTCAAAACACCTACTCGTTTTATGATGAATTATTACAAATTTTAGGTATTTCATTTGGCCCATATTTTTGTTTAATAAGTATTGGCCATTTTTTTTTTTTTTTTGAAATAGAGAAAAAGTCTCAAAATATTTTGATTTGATTACTAAAATTGCCTGTGTCAGTTATCTAAAAAAATTGCCACTTATAACTCAAAATTAAAAACCTAAAGACCAGGACAAAGTTGCACAGAAACAGAATATAGGTGCACAGGATCATGACATTTTTTCTATTCACCAGCATATTCTTGTTTTATTAATGTGCACAACATTTGCTATAAACAAAATCGTACTCTATACCCCATGAATTACGTTGGGAAATATTAAGCAACAACATATTAGTTTAATGTTGGTTTGATAAATTATAAACAACCATCTCCCAACCATTGATCGGACCAAACACAGAACATTCTCTTGCAGGAAAACATTACCTGTAATGTAATCTAGTTTGTATACATGTATATTATCATTAGCAGCTATTGTTCTAAATAAAACCAAATTTTGTCTTAAACGGGTTGTCTCGGTGCTGATAACGAATCTATAATTAAAAAAGGTACACATCTATACATATTATATGATTCAAGTACGAAAGAGATTATTACATGTCTTAATCAGTACAACCTTTTCTAACTGTGGTACCAGTAATCGTGTTTGCCGGTGTTCTATTTTGAAGATCTTTTAAATCGGTAGCTATGTGTGATATAAGGTTTTCCTCTTCGGATGGCGAGTTTACAATTCCTTGAAGTAAACAATTAACATTATGTTTTAAACAAATCTATCTATGGTTGTTTAATATTAAAACTGGTGTTGTGTTCTTAAAATGATTGAATGTATCATTTCTTATTATATTGTAGCATTTTGATTAGTATGGTATTTATCTTTTGTTTGTTCTATTTTAGTCAGTTTTGTTTCTTTAAAGAATTAATCATTATGAATAACCAACATTTGTTGGCAAACCTATTTCTTCAAGAAAAGTAATTTGTCAATGCACAATGAACTACATATACATGTTCATAGTAGATAAGTCCACGAACACCAACATAGCCACATAATTGATATAAGATACTTGAACAGGACCCTTCTCAAAAATAGTCTCCGATTCTTTTGAAAAAATCACTTTGATAGATAGATAAACAGTATATACAAAAAGTAAAATAACAAAAATACCGAACTCCAAGGAAAATTCAAAAAAAGAGGTCCCTTATCAAATGGCACAATTTAAAGCTCAAGCACACCAAACGAATGGAAAACAACTGTCATTTTTCTGTAGGAAATGGTTGATTTAACATGGTTTTATAGCTAGCTAAACCTCTCACTTGTATGACAGTCGCATAAAATTCCATTATATTGCCAACAATGTGTGAACAAAACAAACAGACATAATAGGTAAAACTGCGAAAAATTGGGGTACAGCAGTCAGCATTGTGTTATAATCTTAATCACTATAGAAACAAACAAATATGTCAACAAAGAAACACAAAAATGCATATAGACAAAGCACATCAGCAAAAATGAAAGACAAAAATACAAAAACACATAGCAAAATAGCACAATGACGGGATGTATAAGTACCGAGCCAGTCTGTTTCCTTTAATTTCTGCCATTTGATAAGGGACCTCTGGTTTTGCTGAATTTTAATTTTATCCTATCTTTTTAAAAGTCAAATTATCCAGTTGGATTATTTCCCATGAATATGACAAATGTTAGCCAAATTTATCGGGGATATTTGATTATGTGACTACTCTTTGATTTTAACCATATTATAACTAACATCCAAAAACACACCTTGAAATTATTCATTTGTTCAAATGTGTGGTTTTTTTTTAAACTAACAACAAAATTACCAATCAATACAACAAGTACCTCATACCTTATTACGAACCCCATACAAGCATAACCAAATGCACAGTCAAACAGTGTAAACTTTTTTTCAAAGACCACGAGGTCATACTATGTATATATGTATATATGTAATAAAACATGTTCAAGTTGCACATGTAGTTAAAAAAGTTGTTCGAAATGCGTATCTAAAAAAGACAATTGTATTGTCAACTGTTCTTTGCTTAGTACTCTTTTATGCCAATAAAATGCACCAATACCTTTTGTAAATCCAGTTGTTGAGTTGTCACGTATGACAGTACTTGTGTGTTGTAGGTATCCGTTTGTATTTTCGCGAGTGTGCTTATTTGTTGATAAAGTATTTCTCCAACCTAAGAAAGAGAGATACAATTTGTTTCATTTTACAAATTTATATTTAACTCTCGATCTTTCACTGAAAATGGAGAATATAAAACAAAACAGATTCGATTAATACTTCACACAACAATACAATGCACATAAGTATCTGTTCCATGAAGACATAAAAATACATTTCAAATGTTCTTAGCAATCTTTTTTTTTCACTCATACAATTATCTGGATGATTTTTTTTATGTTTATAACAGCAACATCTACTATAGCCTAGTCAATTTAGCTCTAAAATCGCTCAACCTGCAACCAATTGCAACACAAGGTTTTTTTTAGTGCAAATTATAATATAGACTTGTACTAACAACATTCTAAAACTATACATTGATATAATTTTCGGAAAAGGTTATTTTGGGGTGAAATATGTGGTTTTAAGAGAAAAAATGCTGAAAACTGGAAAAGAAGAAAAATTGTTATTTATGGTTACATTTTAGACCTAAAGCTTGTTGACGACAGGAAACCTTATCTTAATAGAGTATTATGTAGTCCTCTAGTTATCATTATTCATATTGAAGTAATTTTGAGGTGAAATGAGTGATTTTTAGTGAAAAAAACGCTGAAAACTGGAAACGTAGAAAATCTCCGTTGTTAATGGTTAATATTTATGAAATTTGATCTATATAGAAAAAAGAACATACTATTTTATGTTTTATTTGTGAAGTCCTTTAGTTATCTATATTAATATTTGGGTAATTTTGGTTGAATATATGTTTTAAGACCGAAAACCCGGAAAACTGGAAATGAAAATATCTCGGTTATTGATGGTTAAAACTTTCAAATTTGGATCTTAACAGAAAATAGAGAATACTATCTGATGTTTATCTAAAGAAGTCCTATAGTTATTAGTATTTACAAAATTGTATTTCTTGTGTAAAATGTGATTTGTAGAGAAAAATTGTGAAAAATGGAAATAAAAAACTCGATTATTTATGGTTAAAACTTTTAACATAGGGTTTTTATAGACAGACTATATTATCTTATGTTTATCGCATATGTTTTCCTCTTGTTATCGATATCAATAATAATCAATTTGTAGTGTGAATATTTTGTTTTACACACTAACTACAAAACAAGCATAAATCCATAGTACACGGATGCCCCACCCGCACTATCATTTTCTATGTTCAGTGGACTGTGAAATTGGGTCAAAACTCTAATTTGGCATTAAAATAATAAGGATCTTATCATAGGGAACATTTGTACTAAGTTTCAATATGATTGGACTTCAACTTCATCAAAAAATACCTTGACCAAAAACTTTAACAAAAAACCTTAATCTGAAGCAGGACAGACGGACGAACGAACAAACGCACAGACAGAAAAACATAATGCTCCTAAGTGAGGGGCATATAAAATGAAAATTTAAAAATCTTGGTTATTTCTAGTTTGATTTTTAAAAACGAAAAAATGAAGAATGGAAACAGGGAATGTGTCAAAGAGAAAACAAGGCCACTAATGGGTCTTTAACATAGCAAGTAAATCCGGCACACGGAGGTGGGATTCAGCTGACCCCTTAATTATTTTGTACACTAGTTCAGCAAAATGGACACCACCCTAAACTCCAGTACATACAAATGAACCAAAATTATCACCAAAAAACAACACACACAAGACAAATAAAGGCTAGAGGTTCCTGAGTTGGGATAGGTGCAATAATGCGGCAGGGGTAAAACATGTTGTGTGAGAACTCAACCCTCCCCTAGTTTCTCTAGACAATATAGAATAAACAAACACACAGTAAAACTACTTTTAAATATGTGCATTTTGTGGAAGTTTGAAATTTTATCTTATGTTTCGGTTATGTCATGTATGTATTTATAGTAATTATACGTGTAGGTATAATAAACAAAAAATGATTGTGTTCAAAAATAAATGTAAATCAGTTTGGTTACTGACTTTGATTTTGTCTTGTTAATTGCTGGAAAAGTCATTTTTCTAGTGTCCTTGCATCGTCATTGACTGTAGTCCTTTTTGTGCATTTTTTCATTCGCTACTTTTACAATATTTGAATTGCATAAAGTCACAGTTAAACACAGACGATGTGATTGCAGATTTCTCTTAATGTGTTGCTAATTTTATTTAGCAAGCTCTATCAATATCCACGTTTAATTTCAGATATATAAGCTTTTTAAATTTAGGAACATATACTAGTTCACTGAATTAGCATTAAAAGAGGGGCAAAATATACCAGAGGGACAGTCAAACTCATAGATCGAAAATTAAATGTAGATCTGATATTGTTTTAAGGCAATTTCAAGAGCAGCTTTGTCAATACGATTATAAGTTTACCTCAAAAGCTTGAATTTAAATAGTAATTGTACTAAAGTGGTCCAATTTTGGATGTTGAAAATGAGATAAGCACTGTTGAATTAATTAATGGGATCACTTCCTGGAGGAAGTGTTAATAGCAACAGCGCCTTATGTGTGTACCCTATAAACCTGCATGTATGTGGTGGTCTGAAACATCAACCAAATGGTAATGACAAAGAACTAACATGGGTTGTTTGCTATATGAATGTATTATAGTCAAAGATTTATATATACTTACTAGTATATAAAGAAAAGCATTACCAAGTTCTTTATTTAATATATCTCATTGAATTAATTTAATAAAAGGTAATCAGCTTTAGCCTAAGAACTGTAAAAAAATGATCATGCATCATCTGTGTAAGAATTAAAATTTGTAGTGTCTGTGGGCGACTTTGATGGCCAAAGATAGCGTTTAGATAGTCATGTCTAATCTGAAAGTATGTCTGTTGGTTTTTGTTAGTCGTTTGGGTTGCTTTCTCGTTGACTTTAAAAACCTCAAATCTCTCTTTATTCATAAATATACTCAATTACAGATATATCAATGTTAAAGACGCTGTGTTCTGCTTCCGGAATGCTGACCTGTATTCAACTCATTTGAACGAAACTTTAAAAACATTTAAAAAAATACACCTCATGCCAAACGAATATAAAGGTTTAGCTTTTAAGGTCCACTACACTCTATCAGTGATCTTTTGGTAGTAAGTTTGATCGCTTGCCAATGAAACCATCGCTTATTATAAAAATCTCCCCACTTTAAATTGTATGATTGCCAATGAGAAAACTTTCCACAAGAGATATCAATGATGTGGGTGGGGATGTAAACAACTATAGTTCATCGTCAAAATATAAAACAAGTCAAACGAGAAACTCAAAGGCCTGATTAATGTTAAAACAATAAACGGGAAAACAAATATGACAGACAGCAAACAATAACAACCAAGTAATAAAGGGCCACTGACTTGTGATAATCATATTCACAGTGTGCAGTGTTAACCCTGTTTGCGAGCACTCAACCTTCCAATAATCAGGAACAGTTTTTATTTAGGGGCCGGCTGAGGACCACCTCCTGGTGCGGGATTTTCTCGTTGCGTTGAAGACCCATTGGTGGCCTTCGGCTGTTATCTGCTCTTGATCTGGTCGGGTTGTTGTCTCTTTGACATACAGTATTCCCCATTTCCATTCTCAATTTTATTTAAATAGCAAACAACGTAAGAACAAATTGTAAAACCCAGTTGGAAAAGGCTAAACTCAAAAAGATCAGCACGGAGTATATAACCAATTAACAAAAAGACACTGATTTCTCATAGCTAGTTCAAAGCTTAGTAATTACAGTTGATGAATAAATACTGTTGGCACCGACTAAAATATAAATAAGTACACATCCGATTAGTAACCAAAGTGAAAAGTGGATTCAGTGTTACAGTTAAAGCTTTATTTATATGGTGTGTGAGTACTGAGATCGTCGCAAATTACATGAGGAGCCTGAAATTTTCATTTGGGAACAAATATTTGACATAAAATCATTTAACACTCATCATTCTTATTTTTTTATAAAACATTGTTGGATTCTAAATCTTAACATGTTTGTTCCAGAAGGTACAAAAAAATTTGTTTTCTTTCTAAAGTTGTTGAGAAAAAATACCTTAAAGACTTTGAATCTTGCAATAACATTTTTTTTTATAAAGAACAAAACATGTGTTTCTGGAACCCCTCTCCCAACAAAAAAAAACTGTCTGTGCCTTTAACACAGGGGCAGAATTCTTTCAAATACCAAGTAAGAATGTGACTAACTTGGTAACTCTAATTCAGTACAGTTTTCCATATATAGGTTACTTACCAACACTATTTTGGAGAATTAGATTCTTGGATTGTAAAATAGCAGAACACAATCTCGGTCTATATCTTTATTTAAATATACAAATTTTGAGACAGGAAAGTGATTCATTTGTAATATTATTCTTTTAAATTGAAATAATTATGTATTGTATTGTATTGTTTCAACTGTTTTAAAAAATACAGAACATTTTTTTGTATAATTTTATTTTTTTCAACTTTGGCAAATAAGGGGAAGCAACTCATATAACCTTCTTTTACTACTTAACATTTTTATAAATTACATCACTTTCCGCAAAATATATTTTTGTATAGTTTTAGTATATTGTTCGTAGATAGTAACAGACTTGTTTTTCAGAGAAAAACTTTGTGTTGCAATAAGTTGCAGGTTGTTCACTAAATTGACTAGACTACTAGATTGAACAGTCCCTATACAACTTTGCATCCGTTAATTTAGTTTAATACTACTTTTCTTAAGGATGTATTCTTCTGACGTTCCAGCCTCGTTGAAATCTCGTTCTGGAATTATTTCCAAAACTGTGATACCAGTGGAAAATTTCAATAAATTCAAAAAATATTATAATTAAACTTTACTCTGTGAAAAAATTGTGTATTTACAATAATAGTTTTTGAGTAATAAAATTTTCAAATTTTACTACCAATCAAGTCAGTCTTGTTAGCCTAAAATGTTGAGAAAATGGGTATGGGGTACAAGAAATGATCTTACCAGAAAAATGTACATCCCATATCAATTTTTTCTTTTCAAATTTCTTGTATTTTTTCAATCATTTATAACAAAGAAGATGAAATAATGTGCCTTTTGTTCCAAAAATAAGAGACAAATCCCAAATTTTCAAAATTGACCACATGGTAAATTTGACACGAAAAAGCAACAAAATTTTATAGAACTTTCTTATATTAACACCTACCTATAGTTTTTTTTAAGTTAAATTTATTCAGATTGGTCCACTTCATCTGTATTGAAAGTATGAAAAAAAAGTTTAACTGTGGAACTGTGATTTTTTCATGATAATAGCCCAAAAATCGGTAAAAATTGATGAAAAATGGGAAACTCATCAGAATTGGGTACTTTCAAATGGCCGTCGCAAAAAAAGAAGTGCACCATCATATGATTTTTTCTTCACCACTTATTTTTTTACAGTCATATAAATCATAAAATCAGGTTAAGAAAAAAAGTTTCATTCTAGAAATGTTTGGCTCCTCAGAGGTGTACATCCTTTATAAGCATATTTACTTTATCAATGTAGAGTGAAATGTTTGTGAATTTTACTGAAGCATCAACTGTTGGGTACTAAATGTAGCCCTTTTGTTACCTATTACGAAAGGGCTTCTGTGAAGTACTGATATATGTTAAAAAGAAATTCTGAATGCAAGATGTATGAACCGTATGGCGTATATGTTCCGGACCATTTGAGTATTTGCACCATACGAGTATGGTCATGAACATATACGTATACTCATATGGTCCGACCATACGCGTATGGTCGAACGATATGAGTATATACTCGTTTGGTTATTAACGGGCACGACCATATGAGTATTAAGACCATATAGGTATTTTGCAAATAAATCCTAACTTCGCTCGCATAAACACACAGCTCGTTCTCCGACCAAAATCCGCACAAGTTACTTACTGAAATTCGTTATCATTTACATGTTGTCTGAATCTTTATGTTTCTGTTATTTTTGCTTGAGAAAATTTGATACACCTTTATCCTGTTGACTGTCGGAATGGGTTTTTCTTCTTTCCCGGTGTTTAGATTATTTTATTATTTTAATTCGTCTAATATTTACTTTTTTTCTCTCACTTATTTGAAGTGTTCTTGACCTTATTCGTACATTTTTACAATAACAGTTGTTTATGCGTGCTGCCCTGTATTTTTATTTATTTCTCTTTAAAACTACTTGTATTATATAATCGTATGACTATGAGCATGAAAATATTAAATAACTAAATACTCTGAAATATTCAAGAAATTGTAATTTATTCAAAATAAATTAAGACACCAAAGTAAGGATAAAAACGACAAAAAGAGGGCGCAATGCCACATGTGCCTGTGAGTTCAATAGTTGACTTCTTGTTAAACAGTTTATTTCGATATAACTTCGAACTTATATTCCATATTCGAAGTCGACATATTGCGTTTCGTAAGGAAAAATCGGCAATGACCATGCAAAAATATTTTTGCTAAAATATTAATTTGTGAGTAAAATTCATTTATATCATTAAAAACAAAACAATGATTACCATTTAATTAAATAAGTCACAATTTCAATTAAGAAACTTTAAACTTATTACACCTTGAAGGTTCATACCTAATGCAACGTACATCTTATTAAACACCCGGACCATACGCGTATGGTCGGACCATATGAGTATATACGCATATGGTCATGACCATACGCGTATGGTCCAAATACTCAAATGGTCCGGAACATATACACTATAGATAGTACTAATCTTATTTGTCGTAAAAAATATGGAAGCAAAATATTATTGTTAAATACCTTCGTGAATTTACATACCAGATCTAAAATTTGAAGTAACGAATTTGTTACCAATTACACATCCGGATACCTTATCACATCTACAAATATATTATAAACACAATTAGACATAAACAAACACCAAATATCGGTTTTACAACTTATCCAAATATAATATATTCCCCCCTTATTTTATTGATTTTGTATTTACATTGTATCATAGATCAAATTTTTTTTTCAGTGTATGTTCACTTGTGTTAATATGTCTTTTGATTGAGTTAAGCCATTTCAATTGATATGATATAGTGTGTCTTTCTATGTTGTGATGTTACACTATTGATTCAGATAAGGGTGAAGGTTGGTACCTATTAAAACGTTTAAACCCGCTGCATTTGTTTGCACCTGTCCTAAGTCAGGAATCTGATGTTCAGTAGTTGTCGTGTGTTGATGTGGTTCATAAGTGTTTCTCGTTTCTCGTTTTTTATATAGATTAGACCGTTGGTTTTCCCGTTTGAATGGTTTTACACTAGTAAATTTTGGGGCTCTTTATAGCTTGCTGTTCGGTGTGAGCCAAGGTTCCGTTTTGAAGATCGTACGTTGACCTATAATAGTTTACTTTTACAAATTTTGACTTGGATGGAGAGTTGTCTCATACCACATCTTCTTATATCTATAAGATGTGTTTGCGGACAAACAATAATCTCCATGCATGTGGTAGTTTCTTCTGCTGGTTCATTTGCAATTATTGTCTTATCGAGATGATATATATTGGCACTTTTGAAGACAAGGTTTTATTGTGTACAGACAACAACCAGACCAAGGAGCAGAAAACAGCGAGAAATTCCCGCACCCGGAGGCAAAAACATGTGTGCTAGATCATAGAAAATGAACGTCACGCGAAACTCCGAAACATATAAATGACGCGAAATTAAAAAAAAAATGCTTACAAGACTAACAATGATTAAAGGTTCCTGAATTGGGAAAGGCGCAAAAATCCAGCTGGGTTTTGTGAGTTCTCAACCCTCCCCTATACCTCTATCCAATGTAGAATAAATAAACATACAGCGATACGCACAGTAAAGTCCGAGTCCGATGTTAAAATAGGTAACCGAAAAAACTAAGCAAAATGACGATGATAACATAAATAAACAAAGGAATACTGGCAGTTACTTATTTACCAGCTCCAGATCTCAATTATTCTGATTGAAAGATTATGTCTTAATCATATGTAAATCAAGCACAATCCCCCTGTTAGAGTTTAAGAATCACACCATCATAAAATATACGAGGAGAACATAATCCGTATCATGCCAACAGCTGATTTTAGAATGAATGTTTGTTACCGATGCAAAGGCCCTATGAGTGAATCAATATTAATTCCAAAACTCCCATCTTTAATGACCTGACAACAGTATGATAACTATATCCATTCTGAATAATTCTGTTTAAAGGTTTGGATAGCTTCTGAGGTGAATGACGACATTTTAATTTTAGCTTTGTATAGAATATTACCATAAAAGATTGGATGTGAAATACCTGAACGTATAAGATGTCTACATGTTGATTTATATTCACGTACTATGTCCTTGTGCCGATAACAAAATTTAGTAAATTTTTGACAAGTTTGTGATATCAAAAACCCTGGTGTAATAATTTTACATTATACAGCGATTTCATCCGTTTAAATCAAAAACGTTGCTATATTCATGAGCGAAACGAACAAGTTGAGATATACAAACACTATAAGATGGTAACAAGGGAACGTCATCATCTAAAAATGGATAATTAACAATAGGAATTGAAAAGTCGTCTCTTTTATCTTAAATTTTGGTATTAAGCTTCCCGTGAAAGATATCAAGATCCAGGAAGGGGCAGTGTTCATTGTTAGTATTAGCTTTATTTAAAGTCAGTTCAGCAGGATAAATCTCTTTAGTGTATATACCGAAGTCGTCATTATTGAGAGCCAATATAGCATACAAATATCTAAAAGTGTTTTTAAATGTTTGTATCAAATGTTGTTTCGATGGGTTTTTGCTGATTTTAGGTTCAAAACTCGTAACAATACAGAAACAGGTCCGCAATAACTGGTGCACAATATGTCTCCATTGCAATTCTGATAACTTGACGATATACGGATCTCAATAGCGAACACAAATGTTATCCAGTAAAATTTCAAGTGCAGTTATCGTATCAAAGCAGGTCCAATTAACATAGTTCTTATGTTTTTTGTTACTAAAAAATTACCTAAAAGAGTTTGAACATATATATTCGCATTCTGACTCTTTAAATGCACATTTAATTAAATGTGCGAATTTTTTCTTTATCAAACCATGAGGCAATAAAGTGACATCTTGAGTAAAAATCAAAACTTTGAACAGATTCGAAATCACCAATACATGTATAAGCATGCAATTCATCAAGTACTTACAACGAATTCTTGACACTGCAAAAGTAATTAATTCCGCTATTTCCAATGGCCAACTTATTTGTGGATAGAGCAAAACGTGTTTTGTCGGGGATATTTGACTTCGTCTACATACAAGTCTATATGCAATTTATATTATATTTTAGTTTTGTAATAAAACTGTATAAAGAAATCCACGAAATAGGGAATCGAAGGAATAATATGAAATCCACGATATTGCATTCATGGCTAGCCATACAGGCAAGTAAAGTTTAACTACAAGTGCTAGTATATATTGTTAATAGTTTAGCTTGCATTCAATTTTAATAAAACCTTCTTAGAGTAAAACATTTTTTTTTCAAGATATTATATAAATAATCCTCAATAAATATATAATTGCAACTGCTTACATTGAGTGAATGATAACAATACAGGAACAGACAGATATACAACATTCAATAACATAATAAATATTTGTAATTATTTATGTTGCCACAATTAACAAACTTTACACACTGATTTCAGTGCCCTCAGTGCCTGTTTGCCTGAGATTTAAGTGGTCACATGTTCATTCATTATGTATCAACATTGGAAATTGAAACTAGGGATACACTAGGAATAATAATTTTGTTGACTAATTATGCCAACCTAAAATTATTCTTATACAGGTAAACAGATTCTTTACATATATTGTTAACCTATTTAATGATATCAGAAAGACCTAGACAAATCGGATTGCTCGTGCTTGTTATATATATGTATATCAATATTTATGTTATATGACTCGAATATCATCTCGATGAATAATAGATTGCATCTGGTCTACAATACATACGAAATGCTGATACATAATCGTGAGAACATTTATTGTTAATTGTTTTTTGTTTAATAAGGATAAACGTTGTAGTATGCTATGAATAAAATATGATAATTTGGGGCACATCGGTGAACATGAATATGACAGCTAATACCCCTTTAATAATATATTCATGTTTAAGTACAATAACATGTAACTTAATATTTATAACAAAAATACAAAAGGCAGAATATCTGCCGATCGAAACACCATTCCCTACATCACCCCTTTACCGCCCATGCTACTAAAATTTAGATTTTTAAAATATGTTACGTCCTTATTTTTAGAATATGTTCATGATCATGACAATTGTGGAATCACAATTATTGGATAAAATGTACTACATTCTTGGATCATTAAATATGTATAACAAATATTAAAAAAGGCAAACGCATTGACCGATTGAAACGTCATTCAATTTAAAACACCTCCATCAACCCAACCACTATCGTTTAGTTTTTCCTGAAAAATATGTAACTATAATTTTTTCTTTAACTATGTTTAAAAGTATAGAATCAAAATGCACAAGTTCATTGTACCCCTTTCACGAACAAAATCGACCTAAAGAGCAGATGGTATCATCGTTAGCTTTGGATCCGACCCTGAGATGCCTTATTTGAATTTTATGAAAGACAGAAGATACTCGAGGTTGTAAAGTTCACTCGATATCTTATCACCACAACCGTTTTTGCGATTATTCATAACTGCTGTGTCAAAAAAGAGATATTCACAACAAGGTCAAAAAACAAGTTAGCATTTACAAAATCATGTTTTTAATGATGCATGTTAATTTTATCACAAGTTGGGGGGCTTGGAAATCAGAAAATTAATGAACTTGTAGACAAATAGTTCTAGTTGTTCTTGAGACTGAAAGAGATCAGGAAAATTTGCAGAAAACATCATTTCCATACACAGAAACTTATATAGATTATTTGTTATTGTATTTATCATTAGATTGAAGTAATGAAAAAGCGTAAATAAATCTGCTTTGCTATGTAATGCATTATTTTTTCTGACCCCTGAACTTGGCCTCAATTCCAAGGTTAAGCATCAATCACCTTATTGCATACTTTCTTAAGCTATATATAGTTGTTTGATGCTAGTTATAAATCTGATCAATTCCTTTTGGCCGATAACTGATTATGTATCTGAGATGTATTTAAGGTATTTTGCACTTATAATCTAGCTAATTAATGATAATATATTATTCAGTGATTTAATTGTCCATTTTAACAAAGTTAAACAGTAACTATCTGTTTGAAAAAAATCCAAATCTATTGACTTATGACTAAATTATTTACAATAACGAACTATAACGACTTAGTATTATGTTTTTGAAAGGCAATTAATGAGTTTCCGTCACTCTATTAAGTATGTAAGATACATATCAACTGGTAAAATAATATGTTTACTTGCTCCCATGTTCAATGATGATGATAACAATCGAAACAAGCAATTATAATACGCCATCTTGATTGTTCTGTTAAAGAAATGCGTTCTTGTTGATATGGTAGTTAGAAAAAGAAGATGTTGTATGATTACCAATGACACAACTATTCACAAGAGACCAAATGACACAGAAATTAACTACTATAGGTCACAGTACGGCTTTCAACAATGAGCAAAGCCCATACCGCATAGTCAGCTATAAAAGGTTCCGAAATGACAGATGTTAAACAATTCAAACAAGAAAACTAACGGCCTTATTTAATACATGTGTAGTTTATATTGTTACATTTAAATCAATGTATATGCTCAATGAAAATACGACTAGAATTATGATACCTTTCGTTGATTGTACACTTGCAAAGACTGTTACATTTCCTGCCATATGTCCCTTGACCGCAAGGAATGCAAGGTTCTTCATTCGTAGATTTTGAACCGGCCTCACATTCTGCAAAGATACAAATTCATTATTCTGTTTTATTTTGAATATTTTATAAATATGAGTGTTACCAAGAATGAACTATAGGTTCATTAGTTCAGGAAATGTTTGTTCTTCTGATCATCAATTTGAATTTGGATGCATAATGGAAACGTTAATGACAAAACAAATGTGTGAGATTGAAGAAGTTAGAAACACATTGATCATAAGTGGTCATGTATAATGTATAATTGAAAACCATGTTTTCTCAACAACATATTGAATCAAAAACATTATATATACAATATGAAAAGATACAACAATAGATATAAGAAGATGTGGTATGAGTGCCAATGAGACAACTCTCCATCCAAGTCACAATTTGTTAAAGTAAACCATTATACGGAGCCTTGGCTCAAACCAAACAACAAGCTATAAAGGGCCCCAAAAATGACTTGTGTAAAACCATTCAAACAGGACAACAAACTGTCAAATCATTATAAAAAACGAGAAACACTTATGAACCACATCAACAAACGACAACCACTGAGCAACAGGTTCCTGACTTAGGACAGGTGCAAAGAAATGCAGAGGGTTTAAATGTATATCTTGATAACCCTACTTACAAGAAAATTAACAACACGATCTGCCTCAGAATTCGGGCAATGTGAAATTATGAAAATGACAATATTAAAAATATAACATATATTTGCATTGCATATTTATCAGAAGTACTTCTCATCTTTAATGTTGTTGTATTTTAACAACTCAATCGATGTCACATTTGGATTTAGAAATCAACTGTATTGGATTATGTGTAAGAAAATTTTGATTTTTCGAAATACTGAGGATTTTCTACCCATTACATAGATAAGCTTAGCTGTATTTAGCAAAATCTTTCGGAGTTTTTGGGTCGTCAACGCTCCTCAATTTCGTACTTTATTTTACCTATTTAACTTTATTGATGGAGCGTCAATGAAATGGTTTTAGTAGTCGAAAAACGTGTATGGCATACAATATTTTAGCCTGGTATTTTTATGACTATATGACGTACTAAATTAAAAGTTTGGTATATTTAATGACATTTTTGAGTCAACGAAGATATGTTATGTACAAAGTATTAAACTAAATATTTAGGGAGTTCTTAACTTCTAAATAATTTGTTTGAAAGATTTCTCATTAGTTGACTTCTATATAATAGAAGAAAACACAATTAAGTCAGTTTTATTTTGTTGACTTTTAGTAAAACATGTTACGAATAGTTTGATGTCAATATAAAATCGGCATGCAAAAAGAAAGGCAAAAGAAAAAACATTCGTTATTTTTTACATAATATCCTATGTTTATAGTTTCAAATTCATTTAGCTGAACTATATGCGATTTAGTCCCTAATTTATTATATAGACCATCGATCCTGGCTTTTTTTGAAGAATGCATGTCACAATGTTTTTTTTTTCTATTTTTTTTTTTTTTTTTTTTTTCAGTAGTTTTAATATCTCCGAATGGTTTTAATAATAAAAGGTATTGACCACACTAGCCAACACTGATCACATCTGTACTGTGTTATAAAAATTATGTACTGATATAACGGTATCATAAATCAGGAAAATTGTTAACTCAGGATGGATTGTATAATGCAAATGACAGCAATATTGTTATACAATGACAATATATGTTTGTCCGCATCAATTTAGATTACCAGCATTTCCTCTGTATATTGAAAATACTGAACCGTCTCTATCAATCTGATAGTTTAGACATCTCAAGGCGGTTTGTAAAACAATCAATGTTCGACCTCATGAACCAAAACTGACCATATTTGTAATTAATTATGAAAAAAATATACAGTAATTTATTATGCAAACAAATATAGCGGTTTTATTAATCAGTAAATTTGTTAATTTAGGATGGATTGTATAATACAAAAGACAGCAGTAGTGGTACAAAATGACTAAGAAATTTTGTTCGCATCAATTTAGAGTACCAACATTTTCTTCTTTTAGTCTTAATACTGAGCCGTCACTAAAAAAAGTAAGTTTTAATATCTCACGATGGATTGTATAACACAACTGCTACGTCCGCATCAACCAAAATGTTACCATTTGACTATGTACTTATAATAGAAATTACATTGCGGTATCATAAATCAGTAAATTATTTAATTCAGGATTGAGTGTATATTAATACAAATGACAATTATATTGATACACAATGACTACATAATGTTGTCCGTTTCAATTTTGGGTGCGAGCAATTTCGTCTTTTCATTCGAAACACTAAACCGTCACTAAATATAAATAGTTTTTATATTTAAGGATTGTTTGTTTAACAAAAATGCTTTCAGGATTCACCCACCACTGTCCATTCTTGTATTTTATGATGAAACGCATATGGTGGCATCCTAAATCGGTTAGTATGAGTCTGCCGAAACTGATCAAAAGGTTCAAAAGTGCTTCAGACAATTATTCAACAAATTATATATCCGAGCTGTAAATAAATTTCGTATGAACGTTACTTCGAAAAAATAATCGGAAATTCAAGGCAAATAAGTGAATTACAATGACAAATCTATGCTATGTGTAGAAAAAATATTTAAGAGGAAGTTGGGCCCCCGATGGCCGAATGGTCTACGTAGTCGAACTACTGTATCACTAGCCTGTCAACATTGATGTTGTGAAATCGAATCCCGGACGTGGCAGGTGCGGTCGATTCCAATCTTGATAAACTAGGATTTTCACTGTTCTTACTGAAGGTTGAAGTTCTCTTCGTTCATCAGTACAAACTGACCACCCCGAAATAGCACAATAGTGCTGAAAGTGGTGTTAAATACCAATCAATCAATCAATATATTTAACAGGAGACTGCAAAACATGAGGAACGAAGCAATAATATTAATCATGTAACTATTCTTTTATATAAAATTAAATTTCCAATTCATTGGATCACCTTTTGTCATGTTTATCCGCCTTCGATTTACCTGCATATATATATATATATATATGCACTTCATGTTTGCGGTATACCATCTTTTCCGCAAGTTTATTGTTTTCTGTTTGTATTAAATTGATAATTAAGATTCATTTTGTTATATCTCACCGGTGATCCGTTTATTTTGCAATCGCCATGGCAGTCAGCAGTGTTTAAGAAAATCCGTTGTTCGACCTGCTAGTCAAATGCGTTTTGTTAAAATATACTTTTTCACTTTTTTGGTCTTTTTGTAAAATGTTGTTTGTGCTGTATTTAGACCCCTCTAACAAGAAATTTGTTTTGCATGCACACGTATAAAAATTGCGGTTTTTATCCAAAGCAATCATAGGTTTGAACGTTGTTTTCAATTTAGACTTGTTTATATTTTTTCGTTTGGGCTTGTATTATATTTGCCTTCGGGTTTATATGATCCGTTTATCTTATTTTGACTCCTCAAAATCCAAGAGTCTATCCTAAATTGAGATAAATTATATGGCCTTCCAAATACCGTCTCGATTCCTAACATCACTGAAGAGACATTAATTGTCGAAATCCGGATATGGTGTACAAAAATATTTGCACCTTTGTTTGCGGTATACCATCTTTGCCGCAAGTTTATTGTTTTCTGTTTGGTATTAAATTAATAAGTAAGATCCATTTATTACACCTTGTGATCTGTTTATTTGGCAATCGCCAATGGCATTTAGCAGGGTTTAAGAACATTTGTTCAACCTGTTAGTCAAATGCGTTTTGTTAAAATATACTTTTTCACTTTTTTGGTCTTTTGGAAAATGTTGTTTGTGCTGTATTTAGACCCCTCTAAAAAGAAATTTGTTTTGCATGCACATGTATAAAAATTGCGGTTTTTATCCAACGCAATCATAGGTTTGAACGTTGTTTTCAATTAGACTTGTTTATATTTAGACTTGTATACTTATATATATATATAGTAGTCGAAAAACGTGTATGGCGTACAATATTTTAGCCTGGTATTTTTATGACTATATATGAGTACGTCTGAACCAGTGACAACTCTACCACAGATTTTATCCATCGGATCACCAGTAATGGTGATACAAGGCTGAAAACACATTCTGTATACATAATTCGTCTAAATAACAGCCCAACAATGTTAGGTCTGTAAATTTGCGGATGCAATTTTTTTGTTTTTCCCTGGCCGGGGTTAGGACTCATGCTACTGAGATATCGTGGCACCAAATCGCCTTGCACTATGCCCGACGCGCTAGACCACTCGACCACCTACAGATGGGTGCGGTCCTAACCTGTACACAAGTTAACTTAAGCAGTCCTTACGACTGCTCTATATGTTAACTTTGGAAAATTTTAGCAGACCTGTAAGTTTACTTTATCCCTAGCAGACCAGACCTCATGTCTGCTTTTATAGGACTGCTGAAGACCAGTCCTAAGGACAAGTTTTCTAGAGCAGACCTGTTCCCAGGACAGGTCAGCTCGACCAGACCAGAAAGGACTGCTTGACCGGACCAGACCAGACCTGTAGACAGGTCTGCTTGACCAGTCCAGACCTTTGGACAGGTCTGCTTGACCAGACCAGACCTGTGGACAGGTCTGCCTGACCAGACCAGACCAGTGGACAGGTCTGCCTGACCAGACCAGACCTGTGCACAGGTCTGCTTAACCAGACCAGACCTGTAGACAGGTCTGCTTGACCGGACCAGACCAGACCTGTGGACAAGTTTGATATTAAACAGAGCAGTCTTGTCAGTCATGGTGACAGGTCTGCTTTTTAATCGCTCCTATGGATATTCTTTACCACGTTGATACATACAATAAAAGCAGTCCTGTTTACAAGTTAACTTTGGATCATGTTAACTTGATTTTGGAAGAGCAGACCAGACCAAAGTTAACTTGGGATCAAGTTAACTTTATCTTAGAGGAGCAGACCAGACCAAAGTTAACTTTGAATCATGTTAACTTTATCATGGACCAAACCAAAGTTAACTTATATAAGAACAGGTCTGAGTTCACTTTTGATAGCAGACCTGGTCATAAGTTAACTTGTGTGTAGGACTGCTTGTGGCAAAGTTAACTTTGTCCAAAGTTAACTTCAATTCTGGACATGGACCTGTCCTGAAGTTAACTTTTCGGGCAATCATTAAACAGTCATAGGACCAAGTCTGCTTTTTAGGTTAACACAAATTCTGTCCTAGGACCGGTCACAGCAGTCATAAAACCGGCCCTAAGTTAACTTTAACCAGTCATAAAGTCTACTTATTAAGTTAACTAGCTGTACAGGTTAGGACTGCATCCATCTGTAGGCTTGACATAAACCAAGCTTTCGGTGGCCGGGTGTTACCTTTCCTCGTCAGTTTGTATCCAGCATCGTAACACAGTACATGAAATATAAGGCATGAAGATGGAATATTACAGATCAGCTGAATTATCTATCGTAGAGGATCTTACAAATTTATGTAGGATGCAGTCACAGAAATAATCATATTATAAGTACGTCTGAACCAGTGACAACTCTACCACAGATTTTATCTATCGGATCACCAGTGATGGTGATACAAGGCTGAAAACACATTCTGTATACCTATTTTGTCTAAATAACAGCCCAACAATGTTAGATCTGTAAATATGCGGAAGCAAATTTTTTGTTCTTCCCTGGTCGGGATTCGAAATCATGCTACTGAGATGTCGTGGCACCAAATCGCCTAGCACCTTGCACTATATAAATATATGCCGATCAACAGTTTTCGTAGAAACCCTTAGTGTTGGAAATATTTAAAAATGATTCACCAACAGACTTTACCCTGAGACCAAGGGAGGTGAAATAATCTCAAACATTCTCAGAAACAGAAATTACTCAAAAATCAATGATATTGTAAGTTACAAAATAAATATTATCAGAAAATCAATATCTTACCAACACAAACTCCATTTCTTTTTACATAATTATCGCAACAAAATTGTTCTAATCCTCCACTACAATAGAAATACAAAGATATAGAGTTATTTATTATTGTAATGGGTAAATACGATACAGCCACAATATAGCCCCTTATTTCTAGCTAAAATTTCAAATAATAATGACAAGTATGATAATCAAACATGGCTAAACAATGACTAAATAGGAAATAGATATTTGTGTACAAATCTGAAAAATCAGCGTCACAAATAGCACATAGTTGAATGTTATTATGAATTTATTCAAAACATGTAAAGTTCCATTGATATGATACCGCGCATACGCCGACAAAAATATTTTCTGACAAAATAATTTTGATATCAACGACATATACGACTTTGAAATTTTAAATTTCAGTTAAGCATACCGATTTTCCTATGCACACGGACCTTTAGCTGGGATCAAATGAACATGATGAAAACGTCCCTTGTTTATTACATGATTGCTAAACATTTATTTCTTAAAAAATCATACATAGCAATAGCATCGCATGCAATTTATAATATATCAAAAACAAATATACTCATTGTTTTGCCTTCAAACGTTTCGGTTTAAGCGTTTCTGACGCATGCAATTTATAATATTTTATTTTAATTTAAATCTTTCTTTTTTTTTCAGATCATTATTTTTGTTATTCACCCGTCGACAATATATATCACTCGATATGTTCTTAAAAAGAGAATATACCTGCTTCTTCTGAAACAATCAGCTTGAGATGCTATCAGTCTTATAAAAACTATCAAATACAACACAAAACAAATATATTCTGCAATATTTCGGTTCATATCTAAAATATAACACCAATTTGCTTTTGAGGAAGTAATTTGGAATAACTTCCGCCAATTTATATTGTATATTTGAAAAAGATAAAAAATAGTTTAAATGCTATAAACCATGCCGGATGTGAACATAAATTGTCTTATTATGAATTATAAATAGACAGTTCAGGAAACAATCGTTGTGAGTCATATTTATTTGTGATTGTTCGTTCATTAATCAAACATTTTTAATAAGATCATTTGCTATCAACAATCGCAAAATGATGTTAAATTAAAATAGAAACTCTTTGGTCGAAATAAACTGACAACGCCATGGTTAAAAGGAAAAAAATACCAACAGACAAATAGACAAACAAAAATACACAAAACACAACATAGAAAACCAAAGAGTGAGCAACACGAACCCAACCAGAAACTGGGACGAATGCAAGTGGTCCGAAAGGGTAAACAGATCTTGCTCCACATGTCCTCATGCATATACCAGTGATAGGTCTTATTTTGTTCATCACATCTGGCGAAAAAGGAATAGGATTGTAGTAACGACAGTTGGAACATAACCGTCGTCATCTGTTCATGAGTTATACATAACTGAGCAATCAGAAATATAGCACAAGTGTGTGGATGGGTAAGGGTAACGTGGGTGGATATGTGTATGTGGTGTGTGTGTATGTGTACCCTATCCAGTTGTTATTTGAAGTATGTGGTGAGTAACCTTCTTCCTTCAAACTATTCCTATCTTATTATAAAATTAGGAATGAAAATGTGGAATGTGTCAAAGAGACAACAACCCGACCAAAGAGCAGAAAACAGCCGAAGGCCACAAATGGGTCTTCATCACTGCGAGAAAATCCTGCAACCGGTGGTGGGCTTCAGCTGGCCCCTAAACAAAATTAAAAAAAAAACATACAAGACTAACAAAGGCCAGAGGCTCCTGACTTCAATCCTACAATATATATTTTGTTAAAGTACTGTTCTTTGTCTGTTCATTTCATGGCAAAATAAAAAGGATTCTTATTACTTCCTTTGTGTAATGTTGCTATTATTACATTTCAATTTTATCGTTTGAAATATGTAGGAAAAAAATATCATACTCCTAACGAATATAATTTGTATAATACAAACTTTACAAGTAGTAATGCTCAATATGTGTCGGACATTGAATACTAACATGAAGTAAGGAATATAATTACATGAAGAAATACATCGACATTTTTTATGTATTATTATAGTATTATAAATAATATATTCGTTCTATAATTGTTTATTTGTTCCTCGAAATGATAATTTAAAGTTCAACGGAAACAAAGAACTGCATAAATGTACCCATTACCTACCTCGATGTATTTGCTTGAATATAGTTTGCGTGTAAAAAATCTCTATCATATGGCAATCTATACAGAATAATTTGTTAAAAAAGAAATAGGAATACCGTTTTTTTTTTTTTTTAGTTTTTTTTTGTCAATTTCTAGAAAATAAGAGTACTTAGTATGATTAATTTGATTTACAAGTATCAATTTAGAACTTAGAAACAAAACAATTATATTGGAAGATTGGAAGTTAGGCAACTATTCACGGAAGGATTATCAATCAAAATAGTTAAACCCATGACTGTAAGTGAAAGAGAACATAAGTTGGTCAGTATGCATAAATATAATCAAACTGCATAAAGCCACTTGTCAGCGGTAACCAAATAAACTGTCACTTTTCAGTTTTGTTAACTGGTTTAACCTCGCCTTTTTTGTGGTTGTTCTTTGTTGTTTGTCTCTGTGTGTACGCATATTTTCTAAGGGAAGTCCAATGTTTGTGGATGGCGTGGACTGTTGTGCTGTCCAGTGTTTAAAGTTTGTGTGGACTTTTGTTCTGTCTAATGTTTGTTGTGATTTGGACGGTTGTACTGTCCAATGTTTGTAGTTTAGAAATTAATTTCTGTACATAGCTTTATAAATGTATACTTTGCAACACAACATTTGATCAGTATGAGCAATTATTTGAAAAATGATCTACATTTTCCATAAATTCTGCAGAAATATTGTCATAAAAATGTATACATATCTTACCAGTTCTTTCTGAAATTTCATCAAGGGATAACCAAGTGTTTCCACAATGATAACAACTGGAATTATCACTCCTGAGGTAAGCTGATGTAATACAAGGGAGTTGCTTCTTCACAGTGTGCAATATGTGTTCAAAAAAAGACAACCACTGCAAACCAATATTGTTTCACCTTGTCAAGGATGTGGTTATAAGTCATGTGCTGTAAATTGAAAAGAAATTTAAACCAACTTAAAACATTTCTCTTTCAAAAGTAATACAATTTCAACAACAAGTTTGGTTACACACAAATGTCTTGCTAGAATAGTATTCTTGTTAACAAGCATTCAGCGTACTAGATTTACCAACGTGTAAAATGTAATGAGGGTGTAAAGTGTCAAAAAGAATGTCTACCTATTGATAACGAGAAAATAACCTAAGGTATAAAACTAGACCATGAGATTAAAACAAGTTAAGATGACATATGTTAGGTTGACACGTCCACAAGCAATAATGTTGACTTATCATAATTAGTCAATTTAAAGCTCAAATATTGCTGATATATCATATTATAGAGAATGTGACAAAAATATGACCTTACCCTACATTTTTCCCAAATTTACATAATGAATGAATAATGAATATAGGTCATTGTCAGAATTGAGGTACCTGACTGACATGATCATTCAATAAGCTATATAGGCAACATTTTTTGTAGTCATAGGTGAACAGTTCCTGATTATACAGATTTCCAGTTTCAAACGTTACCCTGCCATAAGAAAAGCAGATGCTATGTCTTTTAATCAACTAATTGATATACCAACTTGTAGAATTTCATTCGAAAGTATTATGTAAAGTTTTCTCTAATCTCAATGATTTATTTTATAAGTATGAACATATCATAAACATGATAAATACATCCTAGAAACTTGTAATTTCAAGATTTTTGTGGTTTTCAAGTTTATCTTGTTATAAAGCAATTGATAATATCATTAATCAAAAGTAAGCTTATAACCTTCCGATTCGATTCATCATCTTTGAACATGCTCACACACATGCCAATATATGCCCCTTTGTACATACCATTCAGACTGTTTTTCCCTCAATGAGAAGGATAAGAATTTCATTGCGTATTCTGTATTGATAAACACTTTTTTTTCCTTCAAACTGCATAGTAGAGCTTGTCTGCATCTATCCTGATTGGCACAACGAAGCAAGTCCTGCTTCCAAGACAAGATATTGCATGTTCCTAATGCAATATCCTTAAGGAGATAAGACTTTAACTCACACCAACTGATTTTTGACAGCAATATTATTTACATACTGTAAGACAGTAGAAAAACGTTGTCAATATAAGGTGTTGTGTTTATGTCAAGGTTTGGATCTCCTCTAATGTGGTTTCCTCAAACTTTAAAGAAAAAGAGAGACCAATGGAAAATGTTTGTTTGTTTATTAAAGTAATAAAAAAATTGTTTTTCCCACGAGAATGAGTTATCGGAATTTACCTTAAGAAAATCGTTAAGAAGACTATGAGGAGATGTGTCCTAATTTCGAGGCAAAATATAGTTAGCAAGCATTTTGTGTCCGGGGATAGACGGACATCACATAGTATTCACATCAAATCAATAGGGATCTTCATTTATATATGTATATATAAACATATTTAGACTCTTAAAATTCAAGAGTCTACCCTAAATTGAGGTAAAGTATATGGCCTTCCAATACCGTTTCGATTCCTAACATCGCTGAAGAGACATTAATTGTCGAAATCCGGATATGGTGTACAAATTTTTGCACCTCATGTTTGCGGTATATCATCTTTTCCGCAAGTTTATTGTTTTCTGTTTGGTATTAAATTAATAATTAAGATCCATCCATTTTGTTACATCTGGTGATACGTTTATTTGACAATCGCCAATGGCAGTCAGCAAGGTTGTTCGACCTGTTAGTCAAATGCGTTTTGTTAAAATATACTTTTTCACTGTTTTGGTCTTTTAGAAAATGTTGTTTGTTCTGTATTTAGACCCTTCTATCAAGAAATTTGTTTCAGATGCACACGTATAAAAATTGCGGTTTTTTATCCGAAGCAATCATAGGTTTGAACGTTGTTTTCAATTAAGACTTGTATATAAACATATATATTTATATTCAAATGACTTGCCAATGTTCATGGAGATAATTGTGTTGTATTTGAAAAGTGCATATAATTATATATAACGGAAAACGGAAAGTCATTAGGAAAATGGCAAAATCAAAAGTTCAAACACATCAAACGAATGGATAACAACTGTCATATTCCTGACTTGGTACAGGCATTTTCCTATGTAGAAAATGATGGATTAATCCTGGTTTTATAGTAAGTTAAACCTCCATCTTGGTTGATAGTCGCATACAATTCCATTATACTGACAACGATGTGTGAACAAAACAAACAGACATAATAGGTACAAATGTCAAAAATAGGGGTACAGCAGTCAATATTGTGTTATAATCTTAATTACTATAAAAGCAAACAAATATGTCAACAAAGAAAAACAAGAAGGCATATAGACAAAGCACATTAGCAAAAGCGAAAGACAAGAATACAAAAAAATACCATAGCACAATAACATAATGACGGGATGTATAAGTACCGAGCCACGTCAAGTGGATATTGCCAAAAATAGACTAAACAGTAAAAGTAATAATTTACAAAGGCAAAACGTATTCATTAAAATTCAAATACAATTCCGTTAATTTTATCAAATGTATTACTTCCATCTTGACTGAATGTCAGTGAGTCAGTTTCAGCTGTACTTTGCTTTAATGTCAAGTGGCAAATAGTTCATGCATATTCAAATATAGAATATCTATGTAATGAGCACACCGTAATACCTTTGTATAAACGATCACCAAATACATTCACTCTATACAAAAGTAATTTACCTTCTGTCATATTTTCACCCAAACTAAAATGACGATTTGAGCCTCATGCAGGAACACCAAAACTATATTTGTGACTAGTCACGTCCTTAAAGCAGCTCCTTATTTTGATTACATCATTTTCAAGCAAAAATAAATAGCAACTTCTACATTCGACTCATCGGTTTGAAAGGCTGATATTCCACATCTGAATGAATCTTCTGCCATTTTCAAAGCAAAAGTGAAAGTAGAGAATAGTCCCGCAGAAAATATGCAAACTAAAAGCATTTTAATGTTAAATCATATATTTTCACACTGAAAAATATTTTTTATATAATTTAAAGTTAATTTGACCTAAAATTTCAATTTTAAAAGATATTACTGTAACCATGAAAAATTATTGTTTATTTTGATGAGTAGGAGTTAGCTCCCTTTGTCCATTTATGAATTCATAACAACATCTGACCAGTGTATATTAAATTCTGGCATATGTGCAATTGGTACATGTGGTAATATTTTGAAGTCTAAAACAACAATTTACAATCTTCCATTGGACATAAAAAGTAAAATAACAAAAATACCAAAATAAAAAAAAAAATTCAAAACGGAAAGTTCCTAATCAAATGGCAAAATCAAAAGCTCAAACACACCAAACGAATGGTCAACAACTGTCATATTCCTGACATGGTATAGGCATTTTCTTATGACGAAAATGGTGGATTAAACCTGGTTAATAGCTAGCTAAACCTCTCACTTGTATGACAGTCGGCCACAGACAACACCTAAATTCCTCTATTAGTTCTTAATAAGGTTTTGTCTCATTAAACAAAATGCACGTAGTCTTGTTGTCAAGTCTTTTGTGTGTGTAATGTCAATATTAGTCCAAAAATATATCCAACATTCAGAAAGATTGCACTCTAGAATTTTACAAATTTAGACAGTACACATCCATACCACTATAAACAAGTCAAGAGATGTTCCGAAAACTGTAAATATTACCTTTTTAGACCTGACCTAATTACTCTTTCCATTTTAAAATGAGTTAAAATACAATATCCAAAAATTTATTTCACCTCTCTTCTTTCATTTCCACCCAATCCATAGTACTAAAATAACGAGGTCCGATTTGTAAGCCGGAATGTGGTAAAAACGACGAATCAAAGAATTCAACGTTATATATAACTAATATAGGACAATGGTGTTGATTAGAAATACACCATTCCAGCCCTTTTGTTTTCCTCATAATTAACATTACCAATAATTAACAAGTTCCGGGTCGAATCCGATACCGATACCAAACGTATATGTCACCTGTTACCTATTACCTAATCTGTACTTCCGCATCTGTCAGGCGCACCACCAAACGGTGTATTTGGGATTTGCTATATACACGGGTCATAATCACACATAAACTTCGTCATTAAACAGGGTTGACACTAATAAATTCAATCATTGTCACATAGTTTCCGGTTGTAATATTTAAATCAGCAAAACGGCAAATCAACGAATTCAATTTTATATATAACTAATACAGGACAATGGTGTTGATTAAGAATTATACCATTCCAGGCCCTTTTGTTTTCCAAATAAATAATATTACCAATAATTACATAATAAGTTCCAGGTCGACGGGTTCAAGCAGAAAGATTTTGAAAGCAGAGAAAACCGTGCACCTTATAATCAGCATGATTTCATCAGATGATAAAACCAATACTAAAATTCCAGGCTAGAAAAAAGGCTTATACGTAATTAGATACCAAAATTCAATCACGGAACCGCGATGTCGCGGGTGTGTTCTAGTAAAAACTACGAAATGAATGAGAAAGGGTAAGACAAAAAGAAAAAG